TGATGGAAAGCTTTGTACAGATCTAGACGTGAAAATACAGTTGCGCCCGTTTAACGTCAAGATGATATCATCTACCGTCGGGCAAACATTTTTCTCTGTTTTGATTGCGGTGTTAGCTTTTCTCATATCTACGCACACTCTCACTTCATGCGGAGCATTAGGTTTCGGAGCCGCTACTAAGTTCGAAAACCCATGGTGTCGGTAAACCTATAACCTTTTCAAGAACATCCATTTCCTCTAAACTTTTTTCAGTTCCTTTTCGACTTGCGAACGTACATGAAAATGGAACTCTCCTAGCCGGTTGAGCTACAGGTACAACACTTTCATCAATATGAAACTTAACTTTTCTGTCTTTCAGACATCCTAAGCCTGTGAAAAACTTGAGAATATTCTTCAATAAGTCCTGAATATGTCGTCTTTGCTTTGAACTGATTTTTGAACTAATTGTATTGCGGTAAAAATCCCGAGCTCTACCGATAATTCATAACTGATCAATGATTTTTTGTACCTTTAACGATATGGAAACTTTTGTCATAAAATTTTTGAGTCCGACTCCACAAGCAGGGAACATTTGCCTATGAATGGAAAGTGGAATTTCTGCCCGAATGCGAATGCCTTTTGTTTCCGTTTTTTGATTTTCTGGACGGATTTTCATTTTCTCGAGGTCCTATTTCGCTAATAATATTTAAAAGATGAACCGCTATCTATCAAACATAAACATCTACATCCATTTAATTTAATGCATTTATTTGGCACTTTTTTTCCATCTGATATTTTTAAATCCAAATAAAACATCGGCAACTCATTTGAACTAACACTCGACGTGCTTGCCTCCTGATAAAACTTTGTGAATCCGACTGTTTCATCATCCGATTAACTTCACACTTTTTTGACGTTTTCTGCAAGACCGATATAAAAGATTCTTCTTATGACAGTAATTACATTCCGCTCCGGATAGCAGGACAACGTGACATATGGGAATACCTTCCTCCACAATTTCGGCATTTTTTATTTCGTTCTGGAGGGTAGTTTCGCCTTCCCGACGACAAACTTGCTTCTCTGGGATAGTTTTGATATGAACGTTGCTGAATAACGTTTAGGTGGCGAATCCCTTTGATTGACGGCTAAATCGAGGATTGCTTTTTACCCGCACTACTTGCTGACTACTTGGTATCCTTTGACATATTTGCTGCTTGAAGGTTTTTTAAATTTTTTCCCTGGTTTTCATTTTTTTTAAGTAAGTCAAATTTAAATGACTATTTCCCGGGTCCTTTTAAAAACTGCATTCCATGTTTTGTAAAAACCCTGTATAATTTTGGCTTTTAATTTCTAGTCAATGTCCAAAATTCCAATTCCCGCTTTCTGGGGGTAAATTTTTGTTGTAAAATGGTCGATAGATTCCCCCCATGCAATTTCTTTAAAATTAAAATTTTTGAAAATTTTTTAAAATTTTGTGTTTTTTCTTGCTTAAAAATATGCTGTTAATTTTCCCAAATTTTGTTCTTTTGTAGTTTCAAAATTTCCTTCTCTTTAAATTTAATGTAAACTAGATATCGTAAACATCACTCCCGCAAAAAGAAGTAAAGTGCTTTTTCCTTCTTCGTTTTCTAGATGGTGTTTATACCAGTCCAACAAATAAGTTTTCTAATTTATCCAAATACTTTTCCCATCGTACTTCCCAGAGAATTTTTCATCAGCAAAAACATCGAATTTCGGAAAAGCAGGGGTAAATTATCCATTTTCAAATTTCAAAAATCTTTTTTTTTTTTCACAGAGTCAGTTTAAATTAATCCGCAGTTTGTTTTTTTTTTTTTTTTTTAGTATCCGATCCTCGTCGCCAAAGTAACATTTATATTTTCTATTTGGATGGCTTTACTAGCACACAAACTAAACAAGACCCGAAGGATGGTTTATATATTTTATTATATGTGTTGCATCCAAGTATACACTCATTAAACTCCCCAAACATCAGTAAACATACACACAGTAACAATAACGATATTTGATATTAAAGCGTGCTTATTATATCTTGTAGACTTGCTTACTACCAAAAATCTACGGGTTGTTTTTTGGGTTCGCCGCTTTAAACTGGAAAAAGTCCATTCAATATTCAAGGGGGTTTTAATGTCAAAAATAGAAAATTTCACCAAAAACAAAATTTTTTAATGCACGTCTTTTTACCACACAGGTTTTAAAAATTCCCTACACAATTTTTTATTTTTTTATTTATTTTTAAAATTTTTTAAAACCTTAAATTTAAAAATTAAAATTTAAAAATTAAATTTTTTTAATTTAAGAAAAATTTTTAATTTTTTTTTAAAATTTTTTTAAAATTTTTTCCCCCAAAAAAAATCAAACGATTTTTGACAGAAAAAACAAACCCAAAATTTTAAAAGACAGATTGCCTTTTAAAAACGTGCAAATTTGGGTTTTCCCGTCCAAAAGTTTTTCACAAAAAAGGTTTACTGTTTAAACATGTGCTTAAAAATCACATTTATTTAGATCAAAATGTTCATCTCGGAAATAAATGTAAATACAAATGAGAAATGTAAGATATAATTTTCTAGATTATAATTAAACGCATGTTCGTGTAACAGCTTTTTTATTTTAACAGATGGGCATATAATTAATAACCCCATCAATAAACGCTTCGAAAGAAGCGGGATCATAGAACAAATGTATCCACAGGATAAGATATTCTTTGTAAACAATATTTAAATATTATAGCTTAAATTTTAAAAATTATGAGTCATATTCATGTTGATAACAATCTTGGGAACTTGAAATATTGGGTGAAATACACGCGTCAGAATAAAATTTGGACTAGAAACTTTTTAAACGAGTCTGGGTATAATGTTTTACAACCTGTGGAAGAAAGTCTAAATAAACTCAACAACGTATAATTTGAACTTCTTTTATTTCATACCACCAGTTTTCGACATTTGCCCAAGAACTTTGTCTATTGAATTGCAATAAAGCTTTTAATATCGATTTTTGGACTCATACAGAGTGAGAGATAAAACGAGGCTTGATGGGACATGATTTGCATTTGATAAAGATATTCCGGACTCTCGAAACGAAAACGAGGCTATGTGGGGTGCGTTATGGGTTTGATTTGAACTTTTCGGTCTCTGGAAACGAAAATTAGGCTACATACGGTGCGATATAGATTTAATACCGACTTTTTGAGACTCTTGAAAGCAGTCTAAACTGGATCAAGTTTTGATTTCTATTGGAACAGCAAGTACATGGGTTATATTTTATAAGGTGCAAAATAAACGTATTTATCTATGGTTCTTCCTTAGACTCTAAATTTAAAATAGATTTTGTCGCGTAAACCTGATACACATTGGTATTTTAACCTATACAACGTATTCCTATATCTTCTACGATGTCTAACATCTTAGATCATGTGAGATAAGTGCTTTTCTTTATAAAGAAACGTTTAAGAATCGGTTTTAAAATTGACTTTTATACAAAGGATTTTCATCATAGCAACATAATAACATCAACATATACGACCAGTGCATACTTGTTGCAATCTGATCATGGTCTGCACTATTCACTATTCAGAATATTTCTTTTATTTTCACTAAATGTGATGAATGGTTTTGATCCGATTTAAAGATGGAAAAAGAACGTTTAAGATATTGAATATGGTAAGTGTGAAACGTGTATTGCAGGGTACAAACAACAGAAGTTAGACATATCTGGGCTGTCAGGTAAATATATATTTTGACATTTGATAAAATAATATGTACTGCTGTCGGTGTTATAGAATGTGCCGAGTCATTAATAACAAACTATGACATTGCACTTGTTATGTACTGACGTCATACTCTTCACCTTTGACTTAAAGTTGCACAATTTGATGTTAAATCCAAAATTGTTTATTTATTCTACCATCCGCCCCCTGTATTACTTATACATACGCTTTATTTATCGTCACGTAAAATAATTCACTAAAAGATCAAGCGATTCCGAACGATCGTAAAACTTATAGAAAATTCACTAACCTAATAGGGAATTTTCACAATCGTTTTATAACAATAAAATTATACTTCACTGATACAATTTATTGTCGCGTAAAATGATAAATGCAACAGAACCAATAAAACCGACCGATCGTAAAATCAACCGATATTGATGTTTCCTATGCCGTTATAATGACGTCATTTCTTTGCCGTTTCATTGACGTAATTCCTATATACATCGTTACGTTGACGTCATTTCTTTATCAATACCTTAACGTCATTAGTGCTATTCGTGACCCTTTTGTTATTCAAAAAGTGAATAAAGACAATTAACTGGTTCTTTAAGTGCGCAACTGCATGTTTTAACAAGCACAGAAATAGTGGGTGCTTATCATTTCAACTATTATATGAGTTTAGTTAATCGGTATAAACTGAAACATATCTTATTCGACTTAAATAGCCCAGTTGCGCAAAAAGAATCGGGTCTGTCGGACTGGACTTGTGTAGTACTTGTGCCGTAGAAAGAAACACGGTTGTGTTTCAACCCAAAATCCCATGGTTAAAAGGCAGACACCTTCACTTAACAAGAACTTGTCCACTGCATTTTTTTTCAGATTTCAAACTGAAGAAGCCTATATATAATACTGCCAAAACCTGAGCAGTATTGCAATGTGTACTGGATGCTTTGACGAGCAATCAACGAACCGGTCTAGTTATCTTAAGATCACTATCCACATTGGTTCAAGCCCCATTTAGGGGCAAATCGTACTGGTCTTTTTCAGGAACGGATTCGAGAGTGTGTTTATAAGCTAATAGTTTCTACAGGATCGAGCTTGAATAATGTCTGTATAAACTTATATTTAATGTACTGCAATAAGCCAAAGGACCCTTTTATATTATTGTTTTATGTATAGGTAGTAGTATAAAAAGGAATACATTCTAAACGAAGCTGATATTATAGAAAGATAGAAAAAAATATGTATCAACAAAATACTAGTAAATAAATAAATAAATAAATAAACGAACCTTCTGGATTTCTGATCGAGGCAGTAAATCCTCGGCTAAAACACGTAAATAACAAATATAATATTATACAACATGCACTATTTGTATGTTTGCACATCGTCCGTGCTTTGTAACACCTCACAGAGTAATACACTGTCGTGCTGTCACACGTTGTAGTGTCTTTCGTTGTTCTGTTACACGTGAATTTCGTGCTGCCGCAGCGGCAAGATGGTAAATTGCTGGTACAGATATCAGTTTGTTGCAATGTTTGTTTGATATCGACCGAGGTGGCAGATGCTTTCATCTTTAATATGTCACAAAACAAGGATTACTTCTCCTCTTAATTATTCACTGTACTAATCGTATATACAATATATATTTAATCTGCAACTAATCCCTATACAATCTTAAGCTTTCTGACAAGAATCTTAAACTAGTCCGTGATAATATTGACATGGAAACGCTTACGTCACTTCCGGTCTTGAAAAAGGTCATTGTCTTCAGAAATAAACGCGAATGTTCACCTGCTAAGGTTTGTTTGAAGTCATATTCTATATGATATACGCAGTCCTTGCTCCATAAATAAGTGTTTTTACCTAAAAGTACGGTGAAAATCCTCATTCACAGCCGAAGATGCCCAAAACAACCTGATTTACGAAGGTAATCTAGCAATAAATATTTTTTCCGCAATGAAATATTTATACAAATCTGAAATATGTATAAGCAAATATTTGCTTATATTTTTGTATATTAATTTAATACTATTTAATTTGGTGATTTTTTATTTTCGTAAAGAAACGTATCGTAACGCAAAGTAAAGCACAAATGATGATATTTCCAAAATATAGATATATATACAACGTTCAAACTGCTTTACATCCGGCTAAGTGCTTGCTCACTAATTCCAGATGAAAGAGTCCCACGCACGCGCACCACTGCAGCAACAACTGAAGAACAGTTCAGCTTTCACAAGTAGACAATATCACGCGACTGTCGGGAGGACTTGGTCAAAAACGTCGAGAGCTATTTCAACCAGTTTTACACGTCTCTTCACTAATTACGTATTTAATCATACTTTAACTTGAATACCTGTCACAAAAGGTGTCTGCGTCGTTAGCTTGATGTGCGAACGCGCGGGGAAAATTAAAATTAAAAAAAGCTCTGTGCTTTCCCTGTGCACTTTTCCCCCCCATCATTTTAAAAAGAAAACAAAAATGAAAAGATTTTAAAAAGCACCCTTTAAAGTTGTGTTGATTTTCCAAAGATTATATAATAAAGATAAAAGCGTAGAGTTAAAAAACAAAAGTGGTGTTCGTACTCACATATTCTGTGAATTCACTTAAGTTTTCAAGTACACACTTTCAAAGAACGCTATTATAAGATGTTCAAAAGGTCTCACCCCGGTACGGAAAGTGTTCTTTTAATTTTTGAAGTGGCCCAGTTTAAGTTCTCTCTAGTTTGATTGGTCATAATTAAAGTGTATTTATTGCATGTGTGTATTTTTGTATGTTATAGGATGACTTTAAAAGTTGTTTTTGTGTATTCTCCAGGAACTCATTTGTTGGCGGAAGGATTAAAAATGTACTACCCACCAGCAGTCCGGAGTTTTCAAAGTGGCGAATTTAAACAGTGTTACAACAGAATGAAGATTTCTGAAAAATATAGATGGCTAACACATTATATTTTGGGCCTCATTTAACTTAGATAGTGTTGATGTTTAAAGTTGAAGACAGTATATAATTCATCAAGAACAGTGGATCGAATGTGACTGATTTACTATAGAACAAAGAATACGAACATTCACTAGGCGACACCAAAAGCAGGAAAGTTAAGTTGCTCTATTATTTTAGCAACCCTTAGTACGACAATTAAGGGGCCTTTATGGACAACCTAAATAAAATCAGCTTCTAATGTTAATAACGCTACACATTAGGATCGGACGGCCACCAACAGGGGGGGGGGGGGGTCTCTTTCTTCAGCACATCAGTGGCCGGTTTCGTATTCTTGAAATTGGTACAATAACCTAAGGCAAGAATCCCATTACATGCATGACATGAATTGCATGCTTTTCAAACTCGTATATGTAAGAATCCCGAAATTATATAAGTCTGCAATAATGCAACATTTGGCTTATTAATATTTATCTTTTATTATGTACAGATTAATAATGATTAATGCACAACAAGACATGTTCTAGAAAGGTCATTTATATAACGATTTTGTGTCAGCACTACGGAAACGTTAAAGGGCCTCCATTTACTGCGATCAGAGATCAGACGATTTGGTTCGGTTTGATTAGATGTTTTAACATAAATAAATTTATCACACACCCGTGCCGATTTTGCGACTCCGTAAAAATGGTATTGCACGGCCGTGCATATATTTTGACGTGACGTCATTAACGTTATACAAACATAGTGTAAAGACGCGCTACATGTTAGCGTTATACTATAGGCGCGTCAAGGAAAAATGACTCTTATTTCACTTTAAACGGTCTATATTTTGGGTATGTGATAAATAGAATATTAAATTCGTGTAAGTTCATTACTGAATTTATTGCACTCGTTGAATAAAATTATATTATGCTCGCCAGAGGCTCGCATAATATAATTTTATTCAACTCGTGCAATAAATTCAGTATTGAACTTACACTCATTCAATATCCTCTATTTATATTTTTCACAAAGACTAGACCATTTTTTTATTCTTAGTCACTTTTCTCAAAATTTCTTGAAGTTTTTTTTGTCTAGGTGAATTTTTGTCAAAAAGCATATCAAGGAACGGTTCGGTGAAATAAACGTTTGTTTAAAATATTTGTGAATAAATTGATTTGTGTTAAAACGTCTAAATTAATCGAATTAAAATCAGTTGACTTGCACATCATGATCACACTTATTGGAGGCCCTTTAACGTTTCCGTACAACACGGCATAAGTCAAGTTATCCTGACATTAACACGGGGAGACTGTTACACGAGGGATGGTGTTCTTATGACAACTTGTCAGGAGTTCTTGTAATAACTGTCACGGAGTTCGTTGGAAAACATTTGTATATACTACAAAAACACACGCCAAAAATGGTAATTTTCATCTTTAAAAGGTGAGTTCTTGTGATAACTCTGAAGATGTCCTTAAGTTTTAATGATAACTTTTGTTTCTTCCAAAGTGTTTTTTGCGCTAAATCACGGCACATTTTAGCGTTTTTTTGATTATTTATTTATTATTAATCGAATAATTATAATTATTATTATTATTATTATTATTCTAATTATTATTATTATAACTATAATTACTATTATAACTATAATTACTATTATTATTATTATTATTATTATTATTATCATCATCATCATTATTATTATTATTATTATTATTATTATTATTATTATAATTAACATTTATTTTTCAGAGTTAACTTTTCATTTTCTTTTTTGAAACACAAATCTGCACGATTCATGTGAAATCAAAGTTTTATCGATAGACACATAGTCAAACAAGGAGCCTGTTGAAGCTAACACAAGGTACTAATTATTCCACAATTACTTAAAGACAGTGCAGCGCAATCTGCTATTCACGCCTCGAGATTGATGCTAATTTCCATGATATTTTTGATAATAAATGTATTTAAAAGTAACATATTGTAACCTGAACAATGAAAACAATTAATAAATTTCATGCATTGTAATACGTGTAAATTATCAAAATGTGGTCAAACAACGCAAAAAATAGCACTTACTGCGTTAGTAACGCAGTAGGAATATAGTAATAAATAATGCAAATTCTGTTCTTAATCACACATGAAATGTAAACTATGATTTAATTTTAATTTTTTTTTAGATCTAAGCACATTTTCTCCAGTTTAATTTTCTTGAAATGTTTTAGCTCACCTGCAGTCATGTAGCTTGAAGTCAAATTGACACTTAAAAAACCAGTAGGGCGACCGGTTCGCGCGGCTATTTTCTATTGGCGATTTAATCACATCGACGCTGAGAGGATCACGCTATGCCTATCTATTAGGGTTTTAATTGCATCGACATTTAAAGGTTCACGCGGCAACTTTCTATTTGGGATTTAATCACATCGACATTGAGAGGTTTTCGCGGCGACTTTCTATTAAGGTTTTGATTACATCCACAGTGAGAGGTTCACGCGGCGCCTATCTATCAGATTTTTAATCACATCGTTATTGAGAGGTTTTCCCGGCGATTTGTATTAAGGTTTTAATCATATCGACACTGAGGGGTTCACGCGATGCCTTTCTATTAGGGTTTTAATTGCATCGACATTGAGAAGTTTACGTGGCGCCTTTCTATAAGGGTTTTAATCACATCGACATTGAGGGGGTCACGTGGCGCCTTGTAACACCACACTTTGGGGTCAAACGCACTTTGGGGTTCGACCCCAAAGTGCGTTACGTACTTTGGGGTCCGACCCCAGAGTGCGTTACGCACTTTGGGGTCCAATTTTGACCCCAAAGTGCGTTAAACGGGTACATATGCATTTTTGAACATCAGACAAGCGACCGCACTTTGGGGTCATAAAAATTTAATCAATAAAATGAATTCTCATGATGTTTCAAATAATATATTGCAGTCAAAGCCAATGGTAAACAAAAATCAAGGTATTGAATAGAAGCAAAAGGTGTGTCCTGAATTATAATAGAATCATTAGGGATTATAAATGAGTGAACAACTTTCATCAAATAAAGAATTTGCATCAATTAATAAGCTCAAAATATATTTTATCTCACATTTTCCAATTATTTCAAAAGAATGTACACCTTTCATTAATTCTATTTTTTTTAGCTAATTGCATCATTTTCCCGTTTATTTTTATTAATACATTTTATAGAAATATAAGAGTCTAAGCATAGACAAAGGTATATATTCTGGGAAATCTTAATAAGGCCTTTCAGTAAAAATTGTGCCTGATTATATGTTGAAATGGCCATTTATTTAGCTTATCTAAATTTGACATTTAAGAAACTTGACTATGTGTAGATCCGGCCTTAAGTAGTAGTCCGAACATGCAGTTTTAAAACAAAAATATCATAAACTATTTTAGTAGTCACACATTCATAATCAAGGGCTGCAAGCTCTGTGGTATTTCCTGATCTTTGCAACTAAATCGTACTGTATATCTGTATGTATTTTCCTGTATAAGTTTATTTTTGCATACTATAATTCATCTTGCAGGGCACCGAGATGCAGCGACTACGTTTAGATTTTTTACTTTTTACTATAACAGTTTGAGTTTGATACATACGGAATTTTGCATGACCAGAGTTGCATCAAAATAAGTTATGTTATTTTTTTTGACACTCGCACTTTATCCTTGCATATCGTGGCTTAAAAAAGACACTTAAAATAGTTGTCTCGACTGGGATTTGAACCCCAGACCTCTCGCACTTTGAACGAGCACGTTAACCCCTGCACCACGGGGAAGTTATACGAAGAAAACTGAATAAACTCAAATAATTCTATAGAATTTTAGGGTTTCTAATCCTTATTAATTTCGAGGTCTTTTGTTCACGATAAACCTGTTGTTTAACACTGATGTAAATAATTTAGCAAAAGTATTCTCGCCAAAACAGTCTGACATGTATATATGTATACATGTATATATACTCGACAGTCAGATTTATCTGAAGTATTCGGTAATCGACATCGCTTAAAAAACATTTTCATTGATTAAAATGATATTCATCCGCGTAATTTGTGATTGTGCATTTATTGACAATTCTATAAGCCAACACTTCTTTTAAACTTTGAATGCGTTGTAATTTACATCGCTAATTTTAAGCTGTTTTGAGAACTACTTGTTGTTAGGTTTGTCGTGAAGCGCTGTGCCAGAAATTGAATGTCAGCATTGTATTTCCTGATCTGTGATCAGAAAATACAATAATGTAAAGTTCTCACTGGGGGGGGGGGGGGGGGGGGTCCAGACGGGATGGTGGGGTCCCGATCCCCCCGATATTAT